TGTCCATACACCCCATATTCCATCTACTTAAGGGGGAGTATACGTTTGCAATGGTTCATCCTCTTTATCTTTGTTTCTCTCTAGAGTCTGCATAGCAGGGAGTAGCTCCTGCCGCGCGAGTACAGTCGAAAACTAAAAAAGAGGCTTAGGCTACAGCTGTATATGGTTGTATTCAAGCCTGACACACTGTTAGGAGTGAAATCTGATATTCAATTGTCATTGCTTGTGGTAGGGTGCAGTGAAAGATGTCGTCCATCCGCCACATGTAACATAGACTTTTGAGCGAAGAGTTTAGCTGACGGTTAGGAGGCTTCACGCTGTGATTGGGGCTTACGGCTTGCCTGCAGTGAAATTGTATACCCCAGAAGAAATTACAGCTAATAGAACACTAAGTACTAAGCCTTGTTTGAAAGGTATCTTACTCTTGGGTAGTAGGCCATATTTTGTATAGCGATGATCTACCGATTTTATTTTCTTATGCCCTACGAACCACCAGTAAGTCGGTGTAAAGGCAATCCCTAGAAGCCCAGTTACCTATATATAGGGTTCCTGTCCCTGGTTCCCTATATACACCTATACTATCCATAACCCAAGAACCTATTATATGGGTACCTGGGCTTCTAGGGAATTCTAGGAAGGACTAAGGCCTGAGGGTGAGAAAAGGGCGGGAACCTGATCGCTGACACTTCTGAGCATTGATTACGGTTGAGGGTTTAGGGCGGTCCAGGATTTCGGATTTAGAGCGTAAAGAGTTAGGGCTTAGGGTTTAGAGGGTTTTGGGTCTGCAGCCTGGATATCCACAGGTGCTCTGTCACCAGTGATTTCCCAACGGGCCCATGCAGCTCTATAGTATATACTTGGGCCCTAAGGTAATGATATGAGAACCCCATTAACCCCTTGGTATATACTCTACAGCTGGGCTCGGAGCGTAGATCCGGCACTTCATCTCTTTTCTGCGTGCAATCTGCTCTACCGCTCTATAGGCATTTCTCAAAGTAAGAGTGCCGTCCGTCCTAAACACTAAACCCTCAAGGCCAGAATGAACAGAATTTGCATCCGGCCAACAAGGCAAAAAGCGAAAAGCTCCGCACCAAACTCCAGACATGAGCTCCATATACAACTCCCTAAGGGTCCAAGGATCCGGTCCCTTTAAAGGGGTTCTAGGGGGATATATAGGGATATATGGGGACTATGTGGGGGTCCAGGGACCCAAATATTAAGGCTGTAGGTCCCAAATACCCTTCAGACTTTAGTAATTATTTGGAGCCTAAAGCTCCGGTATTTGGGTCCTGGACCCTTAGGGACTTTTATAAACCCTACCTGGCAGCCCCTGAATCTTTCTCTATGGGCTCCTGAAAGAGGAACCAACTTGCTGGCCAACAGGACTTAATCACGATGTAGGATTGGGTTTTGGGTTCAGCTCAGAGTTCAGGGTTTAGGGTGTAAATCCCATGAAGCTCCAACCCTATATATCTATGCGTGTAGGACCTTTCCGTTTTGACGGATAACGTTCAGGTTCACATTTTTCACGATTTTCAAATTTTTCTAGGCCACTAGAAATCTTTAAAAGACAAAAGCACCCATGTTCCACAGAAAAAAAATCCTTTGCCAATCAAGAAAAGCCTTCCTAGCAGGAACGGTGGATCATTGTAGGTACTTCTCACTTTGAGAGGGGCATGTATACCTCATTAAGAATACGATGAGGCTTGTCAAGAACAAGAAGAGCTCCTTCATCAGTTTAAGCAGCAGCAGCTGCAGCAGCAGCGCTTCCGTGAAATGAAAAACAGAGGTCCGGGCCACATAATTGTGGGTAGTTCCCAAAATTAGGGTCCCATCTTGGCACCCCTAATAATTAGGTGCGGAAATATAATTTAGAGCCGAACGGTGCGTATAACTTTGAGAACAGTCCCTATATCTATACATGCCTGTACCTTTCCTTCATAAGAGAAGAATCTGGGCTAACCCCCACTGAGCCGAAACAGGCTTCCAAAAAACGACTTTAGGGCCCACGCATATACCACAGACCTACCCTCAACTTTGAACCCTGACCGCTACAGCTTGAACCCTGCACCCTAAACCTTAATCCCTAAATCCTACATCCTA